GGCTAATATCTATGAAACAATTTGTTCCGAAATGCTAGTTTTTGGCAAGTAGGCCTCTTGGATGTTGCTCTTTTCAGAATATCCTGACAAATCCCATAATTTCACAAATTAACACCTTACTCTTACCATATTTGATTTCTTACTATTCCTCCGCATTTATAATTAATCAGTTCCACAACCACGACGCCGAAGTGTACGCTCCGTAGCGTCTTGTTCCCATGTAGTTTGACGTGGAAATCTTGGGGAGTATGGACAATCTTTTGAATTTTCTATCTTTTCTTCTCATTTTGTTAGACACAGCTTTCAAAGAATATTGAAAAATATATATTTTTTTATGAATCTTGCAAGACTTTGAGTTTGAAAAGTTTTGATTGGAAAAACGATCGTTAGAATATCAAGGTGTTGCGTATCATGCCCGGAGCAGACATCAGTCCTTGGAAACTTCTACCGTTTACATCACAGCTTTTTAAAGGAAAAGGCCAGAATATTTTACATATTTCCTTTTCGTTGTTGTTATTATTTATTTTAATGTTGTTCCAAAATTTCCCGAGTATTTTATTAGCAGAGCTTCTTTGTTTTGTCTGTTGTAGCGCCGTCCTGACGAGCAGTGAACTTACGCTGCAGGACCGAAGAGGATAGAAGACTGCAAACCTTGTGTAACAGGCGTGACAATAATCTTGTTTGTAAAAATTTTCTCCCAAACTTCACCTTCCTTTAAACAGATCTTTTGTCAAAGACCAGAAAACATTAATGTTAAGTGAAGATCACGACAAAGCATGCAAGAAATAGCCCCGTTACGTTTGTCACACCCAAGCGTTTTGCCGTCCTCTTCTCTCTGCCGTCCTGTTGCGGAAACTCACTAACACAATTGTCGACAGCTACAACCCCGCTCTGTTTTGGGTTTTATAGGTGTCGTGTTGATTTCTTGCAAAGTTATTTTTCACGTAGACTAGTACGATCAGTATTACAGAATTCAATGTGTCTATAAGTTGTTGCTGTTTTTGAACTGTTTTATGGTGAATTTAAAGGTCTAAAATGGTGCACAAAGACGTTGTTTCTTTGTTTTGTTTGCCTATTTTACCCCAGCATCAAGCAAAAACGTTTAGCCAATTTCATGCTCAACGTAATTGACTCGTTACCCATGCCGTACACATCTTTAATCAGTACACGACACTGTTATGCTCTTTTTGAAAGAGAAAAGAGTAGAGAACTATTTTTTCACCGTTTATATTGTTACTCACCACCAATAACCTCGTATAGTCTAAGAGGACTTCTCTTTTTGTAAGAGTTATTGAGATCTCTCGTAAGTTTGGTTCATGAAAGTGGACAAGAATGTGTGATGGTGTTTAACATTTTACGAAATTAGGGCGAAGCATTTTAGAACAACACAGGGATACATTTTCAGTTTGAAAGATGGTTTTTTTAAACCTAGAAACGGACCGATTTCATCCAATAATTGGCGGTAAATCTCGCAAAAGTGATTGGAATTGACGGGTTTGGCTAAAGACGAGAGTTTGAGCAATTTTGTCCGCTCCTGCTCAGATGTCGAGAGCCAAAGGAGATGTCAGCACTTGCCAAATGCTTTTGGGGTATGGGTACCTTTTCGTTGGAGTTATTTCGTATAACGTATTGAATCCAATTACATCGAAAATGTACAAAAGGATGCAATAGGCTTGAAATCATTCTGGTACAAGATTTTTCTCCACTGAAAAGTAAAATCACTCAATTTCCTAATGGATTTCATCTTAACAACATTGCGGCACTCACACGTACCTGACTCAAAAAATCCTGACATACGCGCGATATAACGACGCCCAAGTGTAAGCTCCGATAGCAGCTTGTTTTACATATTTAAAGCCATGCTTAATAACATTGAAGGGAAGATGAATGTTTGATTAATTATTTGCAGCAAAAGGCTCATGTTTCTACTCCAGAGTTTACTCAAGAAAATGCACAAGAAAAGAGAAAGAAAGAAAAGCCAGTTGTTATGACATTGGATGAATTTAGAATGACTGTTTCTGCAGATGAAGTCAGTGCTTCAACAAACTCTGGACATGACCATTTTGTGTCAGAACTTGACAAATTTTTGGACTGGCAAGATGATTCTGGTGTTTTAGATGCAAACAAAAGCAAAGAACGCCTCTTATCAGAAGGTAGATTTCTTCTTTATTTTCTTTCTTATATCTAATTACCTAGCTAAATATTGTGAAGGAGGGGACGAACTCATTGTGTGTCCTGTATCCACTGCTGAACTATATGCAAAGGTAAATAATGACCTAACTCGCGTTACGGACTGGCGTCTTGCAATAAGTTAAGCTTAAATGTCACTAAAACGGAGTATATGTTCTTAACAACTACCTTCAAATTATCTAACTTAGGAAGAGACTTTCCAATTAAGATCGGCAACAATCATGTTAAACGAGTCCAAACAACAAAATATTTAGGAATTCACTTAGATGAAAATCTTAATGGAACGAGCATGTTGACAAACTTTGTTCAAAAGTCAATCGATCCATCAGTGGTCTAAAACAGGCACGTGATTATGTACCTTCAGGTGTTCTAAATACTTTTTAAAAATCTCTTATCCAGCCTGTGTTCGACTACTGCGACGTTGTTTGGGACAATTAAGACCAGGGACTTACCACTAGGATCCAGAAATTAGAAAATCGTGCGGCACGCATAATAACCTTTCAAGGTTATGACGTTCGTTCAGCACAAATACGAAAACAACTAAACTGGGAAGAGCTTGCCTCAAGGCGTCAAAGGCACTTAAGTCTATTTATGTATGATACAGTGAATGGAAATGTACCTAGTTACTTAAGCGATCTTTTATCGAATGCCTGTGAGAACAACCCTTTTAAGTCTATGCTAAGAAATATGGAATATAATGTTGTACTGGACCACGTTCCAAAAACAAAATATTATAAAGGGTCTTTCTCATACAGAGAATGAATGCTGTGGAATTCATTACCAAATGACATAAAAGCGTCCGAATCTAAAGCTATCTTTAAAAGAAAACTGGCTAGTAGGCAGGCAAACTGTTGACTACATTTTACTACATTTTATTATTTGTACATAATTTCAGTGTAGTTGCACAGTATTTACTTCTGTTTCTATACGGCTTTCATGTAAAGAAGTTATGTAACTTATGAAATTACCGTATTCAAAAAAAGTGAATCAATCAATCAATCAATCAATCAATTTGTTACATAGGAACATTTCAACACACAACCATGTCTGTTAAGCCGGAAAAACTACTTTGCAATAAAGCCGTAGTCAACTAGGGAGGGGAATTCTCCAGCAGGGGTCTAAACAGAATTTAGCATTTGCAACACAGTCCTCTTCTTTGAGGAACGTTTTCCACAGTGTAAGAAGGTGCTACCGTGAACAAATAAAAACTGCTGGTAAAACATCAGTTAGTCAACCAGATTTCCTGTAAATTACCAGCATTAAGCCAGCAAAAATACAAGAACTTATAGCTGAAAAAAGTACGGTTAGAGTTGCGTGAGAAAGCTAAAAATCTAAAAAGCCAAAATGCTAAAATCATCAGTGTCCAATTTAACAAGGATTTCTCACATTCACCGTTATGGTAACAATTCGGATGTCTTCTCTCTCTTTCGTTGTGGCGTCTTGCAGTCTGTGAAGGCTGTTCACCGGATGGTTTCCCTTTACCTTTCTCTGTCTTGTTCCATTGGGTAGCTTGTGAGGCATGATGCAAAACCTGTGTATCTGCATCAAACGTACCGACTTTACCTTTAGCATCATCCACACCAGTTATAGCCACTTGACCTTCAGTAGTATAGGAGGGACCGGTTACGCCGTTTTTTTGGGCAGGAATTTCATTAACTTGGGCAGGAATAAATTAACGCCAATGACGTCATAACCTTTTGTCTTGATCTCATGAATAAAAATGCGCAGGAATCTCATAAAAATAAGGTCATGTGCTATTTTTAGATGGATGATGTCATGGTTGGTATAACCGGTTTGACAGGTTTTAGTTATTTTCGGAAGATGATGTCATATGTATTCCGGGGTACTATGATGTCATAGTTGTTTTGATTGGTTGACCGGAATTAGAAAGACGCTCATTGGCTGTCTCGTTTGACGAAGCATTCTGGTTGGTTGCCGTATTTTTATTGTTTGAACGGCATAAAAGCCTGCTCACTGCCTTTCCGCATACTAACTTGGATTTCCTGCATACTAATTAAGTGTCTTCCTCCATATATAATGAAGTGGATAGGTTTACTAATGAGCGTCACTCTACTACAATAGGAACAATAGGATTGCCTAGACTTGCCCGGGCTCTTTTAACCCTGATTGGATAGTAAACACTCTATTATGTGTTTAACATAAAAGCGGGCTCTCTGTTCAACATATTACTCTTGCTATCACCAATATTTTTTAAAACATTGCTCCAAACATGCAAGTCGAATCGAGCTGTAAACTTGTCTGACTATTACAGAACTGTTTTCTCCTATCTATCTCGAGGACATGAAAAACTATTGAAGTCTCAACGTTTCACGCATGGTTAATCAGGTAATTATGCGAGTTCACAAGCCCAAAGTTGAATACAAATTAGCTCTACAGGAAAAACCTCAAGGGAGCATATTGACGTATTATTATGAAACAAATAACTTAAAAAGGATCAATTAAAACACGCGACTCATAATTGCTAGCAATAAAACCATAAGAGAGATACCGTTTTAAAAACTTTATTAAAAACAAAAAGAGTCAAATACACAGCGATTTGGAAGGAATGGAAATTAGACCTCCTCTTCGTTCTCCTCTTTAGAAGGTGAATAAAAATTGGTTTCCAACGTCTTGGCGTTTTTGTGTGTAATTAATCCACAATCGTGACACCGAAGAAAGCCCTCTTTGATGTATTTTCTCTCCTCGGGGATCTGGTGATCGCATATAGGACAAATCTTGTAGTTATCATGCCAAAAGCATTTAGGACATTTCATGATCAACGTGGAGTACACATTAGAATTTTCGCAATGTTCACAGGGACTTTTAGAGTGAAAGGTGGTGGACGTTTCAGGGCTACTACTTTCTATTTCCTGACTGTCGTTTTCAGTGTCGTTGTCGCTCTCTTGGGTGTCTTCCGCTTCAACGCCATTCTCAGAAGCCTCTTCCTCCTCCTCCTCCTGATTTTCAATATCCGATGAACTCTCCTCATTATTGCTCTCATTATCGGAATTATTTTCTACATTTCGGTAGCCTTTTTCCTTTTCTATTAAATCACTTAACAACTTTTTGTTCTTGATTAGTGCGTCTATTTCGAAGTAATTGTCCACTGGGGGTCCAGAAAAGAATATCTTTGGACGCGGCCATACTATGCAGTAATTCAGAAGCACGCTTTTCCGACACTGCTCGGGAAAGATGACTCAAAACATCTTTTATTCTTGGTTCTTCATCTTCGCTTTCATCACCAGAACGTTCGCTTTCTTCATGTTCACTCTCGTGTTCTTCTTCAACCAAATCTATCTTTCTCTTCATTTTGACGAGTACCCGTGACAGACCGTAGCTTCAAATGAGTAACTTATAGTTTCGTTTCCTCTTTTATAGCATCAAAAATCCTAGACTTGTAACAGCAGGTACCAATAGGTCTTGAATAAAACTCACCCTCTTGTACAAGGATTCGCTTCTTTGTTTTGTAAGGGACATTTGTTTCTGCTAGGTTTACTAGGGCATCCTTATATGGCAACACGTTCCGCTTATTTTCTTCGAGGATAAGAATGTATTCCTTAAGTATATTGTATAAGACTTGGACTTATGCATGTAGTTGTTGAGGACTGGCTGTCCGTAAAAGAAACTGTCGCTGATGAGCTGGACAAACAGCTAAGAATTGAAGAAAACCACGATTGTTCTTGACAACTTGAGACATTGCGACGAACTGAACTTATGATAGTAGTTTGCAGTCTTTTATTGACTGTCGTGGAGTAAAACAATGGAAATGTGATGGTGGTGGTGATGGAGGAAGGCAATAGAAATGTGGTGGTGGTGGAGGAAAACAATAGAAATGTGGTGGTGGTGGTGGAGGGAAAACTATAGAAATGTGGTGGCGGTGGTGGAGGAAAAACAATAGAAATGTGGTGGCGGTGGTGGTGGTGGTGGTGGTGGAGGGAAAACAGTAGAAATGTGGTGGTGGTGGAGGGAAAACAATAGAAATGTGGTGGCGGTGGTGGTGGTGGTGGAGGAAAACTATTGAATTTTATAGCCTTCAAAACTATATCAATGCGCAACATTCTGCCTCTTTCTCAGTCTACATTCTGGTCTTGTGGAGTTGACATGAGTTGGTTCTGTTCTGTCTGCGAAAAATCATTTAGTAGAAAGGATAGCATGCAAAGGCACGTGATGGCTAAACACCACAACGTTGGTCTCACACCATTTCAAACAGTTCCGTTTTCACAGAAATGTCAGCGGTTTCGCTCCGAGCATCCTTTTACCTCCATGATTGCCGGAATGACCGGTTCAGGAAAAACGGCCTGGGTTCGATCTCTATTGCAACAAGCTTCAAAGACCATTTACCCTCCCCCGGAGAGGATCGTTTGGTGTTATTCACAATGGCAGCCTGCGTATACACAAATGTTAGTCGCCATGCCAAACATTGAATTTGTCAGCAGGATTTGTCAGCAGGATTCCTATTTTGATGTGAACAAACGGAATTTGATCGTGTTTGATGATCAGATGATTGACGCCAGTAAAGACAAGCGAATTGTGAACCTCTTTACTCGTGGTTCTCATCATCGCAATCTGAGCGTGATTTATATCGTGCAGAATCTATTTCATCAGGGGAAAGGTAGCCGCAGCATAAGCCTAAACAGCCATTATCTGGTGTTATTCAAGAATCCACGAGACAAATTGCAAATCTTGACTCTAGCGAAGCAAATGTATTCCGGGCAGACGGATTTCTTTTTAAATCAGTACGAAGAGGCTGTAAAAAGACCTTTTGGTTATCTTCTGATTGATCTGAAAACTACTACCCAAGATAATTGTCGGTTGCGAACAAACGTCCTGCCCAGTGAAGAAGGCTTTAACCAAGCAGGGTTTCAAGAAAATATTCCTCAAGAGCTTCTAAAATATCTGAAGCAGCAAACTCTTTCGCCTGTCCCGCTTCTTCCAGCTATACAAGAAATACAAGGCAACATGGATGACGTGCTTTCTCGAAACGATCTTCGGGACGATGAAAAAGCTAAACGATACCTTCAGTTGCAAAACAGATACCTGCCTTTTAAAGAACAATTAAATACAAGAACACCACCGGAAGAAATAATCAGCACTGTTCCAGACTTAACATCAAGGACACAAGATTCTTCGACAGCAACGACAGCATTCTCGACTTCCCTCAACCCCTTTAATGTAACACCTCACCCCTCCACCACCCTTAAATCCTGCTTTCCTGACCCCTCCTCCCACAGTAGAAACCCCATCACCACAAGGCTCGAAGCGCAAGTGGCGTCGGATTCAATTTCTAAATTATTTGGATGATCATAAATCTCATGGCAAACAGCTGAAGAAACGTCGGCATAAGAAATTCAAACCTTACAAGTACTCCATGGGCGAAGATGAAGATTAATTAATTTCCATTCCTGTGTATTTGACTCTTTTTGTTTTTAATAAAGTTTTTAAAACGGTATCTCTCTTATGGTTTTATTGCTAGCAATTATGAGTCGCGTGTTTTAATTGATCCTTTTTAAGTTATTTGTTTCATAATAATACGTCAATATGCTCCCTTGAGGTTTTTCCTGTAGAGCTAATTTGTATTCAACTTTGGGCTTGTGAACTCGCATAATTACCTGATTAACCATGCGTGAAACGTTGAGACTTCAATAGTTTTTCATGTCCTCGAGATAGATGGGAGAAAACAGTTCTGTAATAGTCAGACAAGTTTACAGCTCGATTCGACTTGCATGTTTGGAGCAATGTTTTAAAAAATATTGGTGATAGCAAGAGTAATATGTTGAACAGAGAGCCCGCTTTTATGTTAAACACATAATAGAGTGTTTACTATCCAATCAGGGTTAAAAGAGCCCGGGCAAGTCTAGGCAATCCTATTGTTCCTATTGTAGTAGAGTGACGCTCATTAGTAAACCTATCCACTTCATTATATATGGAGGAAGACACTTAATTAGTATGCAGGAAATCCAAGTTAGTATGCGGAAAGGCAGTGAGCAGGCTTTTATGCCGTTCAAACAATAAAAATACGGCAACCAACCAGAATGCTTCGTCAAACGAGACAGCCAATGAGCGTCAACCAATCAAAACAACTATGACATCATAGTACCCCGGAATACATATGACATCATCTTCCGAAAATAACTAAAACCTGTCAAACCGGTTATACCAACCATGACATCATCCATCTAAAAATAGCACATGACCTTATTTTTATGAGATTCCTGCGCATTTTTATTCATGAGATCAAGACAAAAGGTTATGACGTCATTGGCGTTAATTTATTCCTGCCCAAGTTAATGAAATTCCTGCCCAAAAAAACGGCGTATCCGGTCCCTCCTATACTACTACCTTCAATAACGGTCCACATCAGATTTGCCTACTGTCCACTTGGCAACAGTTTCAGTAGGCTCGCCCTGTCTTGTTCCTGCTGAAACAGGATATCAAGCTTGATCTCTGAGTATCATCTACTCGAGATACAACGGGCATTATAGTCTTCCTCTGGACACTTGCTTGTCATAGTTTCTCTACTGATGTTTGGCCGCCTTTCCTTAATTGTCACCACGCTGCCTCTTATGTGCAAGGAAGTGGGTTGCAGGGCCAATGCATACTTGGTTTGAGACGGAACAGCATCCAGAGTTGGCTCAGTGATAACATCCAAGGAAACTTCAATTTCCCTTCCCAGCATAAGTTTGTTTGGCATTTCAACAGTGGAGTCATGGATGGAACTCATGTAAGCCATCATATGCACATGGGAAGTTTAAAGTCCCAGTCATCTTGACTGTCTTTCAACTTGCTCAATGTTCGATTGTAACTTGGCTGCCTCACTGTGGATTTAGTGGGTGGTTCTAGTTGACTTGGCTTACACACCTCTGACATAACTTTGGACTCGAAGCTGGTTGCATGGTTGCTGTGTATCTCTCATGGAACCCAAAAATAGCAGAAAAATCACCCACTAATTTTTTAGGTACTGTGGAAGCTACAACAACAACAACAACATTCAAAATGAGATAGCTTTCAACTTTCTGTCCACTTTCAAGGTTATTTCGTGAGGGGTCAGAAGAATAGGTGTGAGTATATGTCCATTGCAAGCTTTCCATCTGTGAAAAACTACATACTGCTTCAATGGCAAATGTCTCTTCTTACCCAGCTGGTTTTGGCTTTTCACTCATAACAAGCTCTGACTTTCTTCTTCACATGTGACGTTGGTCCTGGCCAGTAGTATTGAGACCCTAGCACGTCAGTATTTTGTTAACAACCCGGTGATGTTTTATGATCATGGTGAATTTTGTTGTGGTATTGCTTTCCTCTTCCCATCTCCAACACAAACATTAATCATCATCTCCATCTGGTCCCACTGGGCCCAAAGTGTATTAACAGTGGGTTTGTAAGGAGAAAAACATCTTTCCACTTTGACATTACAGCGCTTGTCTCGTTAAACTAAATTTGACCTTGAGGCTGAAATCTGCTCTCCGTTGGCTGTGAAGGTACTCCCGAGTCCAGGACGGTTCCCATCTTATTGTGTTTCACTTATAGTTAGGTTGACTTGGTGATAAGGTTTAGAGTTAGCTGAGAAGAACTATGTTTCACCCTGTTTAACGTGAGGAAATTTTCCAGCTGTTCGCTTTCACAAAACCTACAGGCTCGACCTGTTAAATGTCAGTTTAAACAGCAACGCTAACCATTTGTTTAACCTTCTTCCACTCCTTACACTACTTACAACCACTACTACAAATTCTTTGTCACACGGCATCTGCATACTAAAGCCGCTGCCCTTCTTTATACTTAACCTTATGGGGAGGGGGGGGGGGGGCTTTATCCTCCTGGACAGCTGACTCTCTAGCTCCTTGACCTTCAGAATTGTGCAGAGGGGTACATGGTAATTTCTTATGTGAAGTTTGGCTCCCGGAAGGGGTGGCAAAAAAGCTTCACGAAATCCACTACCACAAACAGTTCTTTTCGTATTACTCATTATTTCCCTTTGCTTTCCCTTAAACTACGCAATGCAACAAGGTGTTCAACTCGATGCTTCAACTGAAGCATGATTGCTGATATCTATGTTGAGTAAAAACTCTGCTGTAAAATAGAGTTCCACTGATAGCCTCTCTCTGGAAGAAGGTGCTGCAGGATTCACAGTCTTTGATTAGCAGTGGCAGACAGTGACCTCGAGTGGATGAGTACTACTGCTTGACATTGCAGTTGTATTACTACAAGATGGCATGTTATACATCGGAGGCTAAGTTGCTGGCCACTCGCACTACAGCAGTCGATCTCCTCTTCATTGATAACAAGTCTGCGTTTGGACTAGGTCAATGTTTGCA